TATTACTTTTTTGTCTCATGCAGCGCACTGCCTGCGTCTGAGTAAAAAAAAAATAATAATAATAAAATTGCATAATATTAATAGACAAACTATGCTCATATTTATAATTCCAAACAGTCAGTAAGCGACAGGTGCTTGGAAACGCTGTTTTGTACTCATTTATTGACGAGTCGGCTGTGGTACGGCCAGCTGAAAGCGCTGCTTCTCTGTTGCTCACTGCACAGAACAGACGCCGAGAGAGACGACACTGTGCCGGGAGAGTCAGACCTCGTGCTCGCGGGGCAGCACTGGCGACGTCTTCCAACTGAATCATAGCTAAGGTTTATCCAAAAAAAGAGACCCCCTTCAAACTCGTTCCGAACATTATTTAAACGACACCGGTATTGCGGTGTTTTAAAAATTCATATCATAAGAAAAATAAACAACGGTATTCGGTATGAACCGGTATACCGCCCAGCACTACGATACGATATTGCTTAAAGTGTGTAAAATCAATTTAAATTATATTTTAAAATATTTAATAACCGACTGCGTTTACGAGAATGATCGTCGAGACGGGTACTATTGACATAATTCTGTGTGTATGTGTCTGTTCAAACATGAGGAGATGCGAAAGACGAAGTGTGTGTGTGTGTGTGTCTGTGTGTGCGCGCGCTTTGCACGTGTGAGGCAGAACTGAAGAGACGCTGTGCGAGATGCGGCTTGTGCGCGTGCTTCAGGTGTGAGTCAAACAGCAAGACGAGACGGCAAAGAGTTGTTTTCTGCAACTTATTGCACTTAACTCTTTTTAACGTCAAGCAATTCTCTGCTATATGCGTCGAACTAAAACTTTGACCTTTTGCAACGTTTTGATTTAAGTAGCCTATTATTAAAATGATAATGATATCGCACGCCATTGCGATATGCATATTGCGATATTTACATTTGCGATATTTCGATAATTTCGATGTATCGTGCAGCCCTACTAAGGTGTTTTGAGTGATTTAGGTCATTACTATGTGGTTGCTAAGGTGTTTTGAGTGGTTGTTACTATGTGGTTACTAAGATGTTTTGAGTTAAGTTGTTAATGTTGTTGCTAAGGTGTTTTGAGTTATTTAGGTTGTTACTCTGCTGTTTCTAAGGTGTTTTGAGTGATTTAGGTTGTTACTATGCGGTTTCTAAAGTGTATTGAGTTTAGCATGTTTGTAGTTGCCAAGGTGTTTTGAGTGATTTAGGTTTATACTATGCTGTTTCTGAGGAGTTTTGGGTCATTACTATATGGTTGCTAAGGTGTTTTGAGTTATTTAGGTTGTTACTCTGTGGTTGCTAAGGTGTTTTGAGTGATTTAGGTCATTACTATGTAGTTGCTAAGGTGTTTGGAGCGATTTAGGTTGTTACTTTGCTGTTTCTAAGGTGTTTTGAGTGGTTTAGGTTAGAGCTGTGCGATTAATCGAAATCGTCATAAAATCGCGATTTGAGCGTGCGCGATTTCTAAATCGCTTTACAGCACGATTTTCCGCGCCCCCGACCTCCCGCAGTATGCTATCCGAACCAATCAGAATGCAGCGCGCCTAAATGGAGCACGAGAACAGAACAGACCGGGCAGGCATACAAACGTACCGGCAGGTTCACACTAGGGGTCGACCGATTATCGGCCTGGCCGATTATCGACGCCGATATTAAGCATTTTTATGATTATCGGTATCGGTCATTTTCAAAACCGATTCGCCGATAAAATAACTTAATTTTGAAATGCGCTATTTGGCTCTGATGCAGCCTGTCAGAACTCACCACTCTGTGGCCTAAACGCACTGCAGACGGAGTACGTGTGAACTTGGCGCAACAAATCTAGTTCAACATCTGAGGCAACGCCACAAAGAGCTCTATGACCAATGCATGGCAAAAAAAATCCCTGGACACAGGATTTTTTTCCCCCTGCCATATGTCTATTCTAGAGACATTTTGTTACGCCTTTGCTTAGTGATTATTTTGCCTTATGTCTGTTCTAGAGACTTGTTACAGCTTCTTGATAAAGCTCTAATTGGTTTTCTTTTGGAAATATGTTTCAAATTCACACTGAATGCATTTATGACTGGAAAGCATGTCTGTGTGTGTCAAAATCGTGATTAAAATCGAAATTGCAAAATTGATCAAGAAATCGCGATAGGTTTGTTTTGTCCATATCGCACAGCCCTAGTTTAGGTTACTATGTGGTTACTAAGGTGTTTTGAGTGATTTAGGTTGTTACTCTGCCATTGCTGAAGTGTTTTGAGCATTTTAGGTGTTTTTTCTAATTTTAGGCTGTCACTATGTGGTTGCTAAGGTTTTTTTTTTTTTTTTGGCACATTGCTCACGGTTGCTAGGGTGTTGTGGGAGTCACTTACTAGTCCAAGTCTGTCTGCAAACATCACTAATAAAGTTGTGCTGCAGGACAAACACAGTATCTAACCAGCGATCAGTTCAGGACATTTTCCAGCGTGAGTTTCTGTCTGAATGCTTTTACTGTGCCATTGGGCCATTAAACTCTCAGCAGTTTCTCAGATGAACCTTTCCATTCTGCCTGTCCTGTCCGTGTTGGTCCGTGCTAGTCTCAACAATACACGCTGCTAAGTGAGAGATCTCTCTACCCTTCATCCTCTACATGAGCAAACACTGTGACGCTACGTTCAGCCGCCCGAGTCTCTGCAAAACCTAATGTTTTGTTTATTTTTTTGCTTTTAAAATAAAAAAACTTGGTAGAAATGCCAAATTGATACAGGTTTTGCTATAGATAATGTAGCGTTTTCTTGACGCTTTTCTGTGTCACAGTGAATGCTAAGGTTTGTTTCTCATTTGGAGAAGCTTCTCCTACGCAAGTAGCCTTAGAGGAAAACTAATGTGTGCCTGCACATCCCACACTTTTACAGTGACTAATGAAAATTCCGCATGCAAAAAAATTACTCGTTTACCGTTTTGTCGCTTAAGACGACGTTGTGAACAGGCCTTGAAGTCAACAGTAAATAAAAATGACCCTCCTTCCCACTTAATACAGTTTCCTGATCTTATTGTGTATGATTTATCAGTGTATGTTATTTCAAACAAGAAAGATTGTTTGTCTTTGTAATATTTCAAATGTAATAACTTGTTCCGCCTCAGAAACAACTTTCCTTTTTAGGCAGTGTGATAATTTAGTCATTGTTGTAGGCTACGATTGTACACAATGCAAGCTTACCAAGTTACTAGTAAGTTACCAGTAGTTAACAGAATAATTTTAAGCTAGTTAATGTACAAAAGATTACAGCAATAATGGTAAATAACAATACGCTTGAAAAGTAGTGTAGCCTTTGGGATATATGGAGAAGCTCTGGACCGTCTGACTTAGGGCTGCACGATTAATCGAATGCGATTGTCATGCGCATCTCGTCAGTAAAGCCGGTTCTGTAATCAGTAGTAAATCTCCATCACGTGCTTTCAGATGGAGCAGCATTTACTACACAGAGCCATAGTTCACTGACAAGCTACGCAAAATCGCGTTCATAATCGCAGGCGATATAATCGCGTGATAATGAAATCGAAGATAACGTTCTGCGATTATGAAATCTGTTTGCGTAGCTTCTCAGTGAACTATGGCTCTGTGTAGTAAATGCTGCTCCATCTGAAAGCACGTGAAAATAATACCACATTTAATAACATGTTTTACTCCAAACTCTCTTCATAACGTCAGTCGAGTGTTTGAAATAAATCCTTCTGTGAGATGATGTGGCTTCTTACACAGAATAAGGCACACAACATATTTCATAGTATTCTAAGCAGTGATAAAGGCTGTCGATTAACATTGCATTATTATATACTTTATTATAATAAAACGAACTCAGATAACCAATATATTGCCGTAGTCGTGTGTTTATTAGTCACGTTGAATCAATGAAAGCAGTTAAATCTTCTGTTTATTCAGCAACCGCTATAGGCATTTCCTGGGTTTCTTCTGCGGGGCCTATTTGGAGTTTCAGCGCGAGAGCGCCCTCTGGCCTTCGGATGGAGATTTACTGCTGATCACAGAACTGTGCTTCACTGAAGGATACGCATGACAATCGCAGCTTCTGCCTAATCGCGATTTATCGCCTTTGTGATTTAATTTTAATTAATCGTGTAGCCCTAGTCTGACTTCACCTTCAGCCTCAACGTCCTGATGATAAAGCCTCCTAAAAAGCGCCTCAGGAGGAGAGTAGATCCCCTACAATCCACTGCAAACTCACATTCAGATCTGACTCCATTCTAGTATGGAAAGCATAGGTGGATCCGATCAATTTCCAGTGAACAAAATTCCAGTGATTCAACTTTTTTTTTCTCATTGAATATTCTGTTTAACTCACAGAATGCTGTTTATTTTAAGTGTCTTTCTTCAATTTCTGTTCTGTCTTTTTAGGAATCGATTTTAAGATCAAAACAGTTGAATTGCAAGGAAAGAAGATAAAGCTACAGATATGGTAAGTACTACTGAATGTGTGTTTGCATATTTATGGAATTCATTATACATAATGTGCTCTGCGATAAAACCATGCTTTATGTGTGTAAAATCAGTTTAGATTTAAATGTAAATTGAAATATTAAATTAAATACAATTTATGTAAATTTAATTATTTAAATATATTTAAAAACTGAAAATGATATAGCCAACATTAGGGCTGTCAAAATGGCTGAAAAACTAAATTCGAATTTTGTACTTAAATATTATAAAAATTCGAATTATATTCAAATTTAAAATGCATAATTTCAGTTAGGGTGAAGAAAAGCTTTTGGCTTCTCTTCTAAGGCCACAGGAGGGCGCATTGAGCAAAATAATACTAATGCACGTTTATTCAAAGCATAAGATAACATGACTATCTGTGAAACAAGTGCTTAATGTTTAAAATAATGTTTATAAACCAATTATAATTAAGTTGCTTTGCTTAAACAACTATAAACAAATAAAGAAGAATGTCAGAGGATTTCGATATAAGACAAGAGGAGACTGGTATTCCTTTGCTAAAGTAAGGAAACTTTGCTTCCTTTGATACTGTAAACAAACGTTGGTTTTCACGAGACTCACCGGTCTTTTGTGTACAACTGTTGGTGCAAGCTACATTAAAGTGATTATTACGTTTTGAATATGGATATTTTTCTTACAAAAACTCATTGATTCGCTACAAGAAGGCCTTTGTTCACCCCCCGGAGCCGTGTGAGACACTTTTTTTTATGGATGGGCGATTTTTATTTAAGTTCTTTTGGACTGATGCATGCAACACCCGCTGAGTGGCATTAAACAGCTTGAAAGATCAAAGACAATTTTTAATATAACTCCGACTGGATTCCGCTGAGTGGCATTAAACCGCTTGAAAGATCAAAGACAATTTTATAATTTTAATTAATATAACTCCGACTGGATTCGTCTGAAAGAAGAAAGTCATAAACGCCTAGGATTCCTCGGGGGTGAGTGAAACGCAGCCTAATTTTAATTTTTGGGTGAACTAACCCTTTAATGACAGAATTTTCATTTTTGGGAGAACTAACCCTTTAAACAACTATAAACACAACAGCATCATGTATCTATGCATAGTTTAATACAAAGGGCGGAAAGCCAATCACACGGAGTACATTTTTCATTTGAAAACATGAGATGCAGTGGGATGGGGGAAAAAACCCTGCCATAAAATCTCGATATATGTTAAATTGCATGAATTTTACATGGCTTTCTAAAAATGCGGCTCCTTTGTGCGAGATGCGAGTGCAACGGTAATAGATGTCCCTCTAGAAAATGTGCGAAATATGTGTTCTGTGTGAACGGCTTGGTTTCGGTTTTGTTGTAAACAAGATCTTCTCTGCATTGTTCTCTTTTTCCGCAATATTTTTAATGAACAACAAAATAAAGTGTGTCCATCCATCATAAAAAGTGCTCCACACAGATCCGGGGGGTTAATAAAGGCCTTCTGAAGCAGAGCGATGCGTTTGTGTAAGAAAAATATTCATATTTAAAACTTTATAAAACGTAATCTCTAGCTTCCGCTAACTGTTGTACACGTGTTCACGAGAGAGTGGTGTTCCAGTGGATGAAGTAGGCATAGCGTAAGCTCCGGTGAGAATATGCTAGTCTCGCGAGAACCAAGTTTTGTTTACAGTAAAGGGAAATCAGTCTCCTCTTGGCTTATATCGAAATCCTCTGACGTTTTTCTTTACAAATCCAAATTTTTAAACTTCTGATTTGTGACCGGTGTTTTGTTTTGCTCTCTCCTCTGCGCTTCCACGTTTGCCACTTCTCACCGGAGCTTACATTTTGGAAACTTTTGAAATCATTCCGTTTTTGCAAGCTGTGATATGCATATTGTGATTTGTACATTTGCGATATTTCGATAATTTCTATATATTATGTAGCTCTTTTTATATGCAGGATACAAAATTACCACCTGTCATGCACCAAATGCATGTAAATGGCTTTAGTCTGAAAATAAAACAATGTATTGACAAGTTATCTGGAAAGTTACCATCCAAACAACTCCTATAATGATAATGTTGTTCCTCATAGTTTCATTTGGTGGCTTGTGGCCAGGAATGTTATCATTCTGGAGTAACGACAGTAACAACAGTTTTGGCTGTGTCTCAGTGACACACATTAGTTTTTTAAGACACAGTTTACTGCAAATATTAAAGAGAAAAGCACCCAGATAATTACACTCTCATTGAGGTAAAAATGTCTTTAATCAAATTACAGTTGCATGGAAGAAACCGTGACGTTTGGCTCCATTTTTGAATCTGAATCTGTCTGAATGAATGACGTTTTACAGGTTTGGTGGATTTTCATTGAAATAGGGATCAGATTTTATTCTGTTTCTCATGTTTATTTCCCCAATACTGTGTTTTCCCATTTTGGATACTCTCTGTGAAATTGCCTTGTAGCCTATTGAAACACAATTGATTGTCCAGCAGTATAGTAGAAGACAACAGTTGATGATTTAGAATTGATTAGTAACAATTGGTGGTGCTTAACTAGTCAGCTGTGGTCACCAGTTATTGCCAACCGAAGAAAATTTGGATTTTCTGTATTCTGTGATCCATTGGGTCCCTGAGCGTCTGGGCTGCTGTAGTGTTTGATTGTGGTTGTCGATGTGTTTGTGCAGGGATACAGCGGGACAGGAACGGTTTCACACCATCACTACCTCTTACTACAGAGGGGCCATGGGAATCATGCTCGTATATGACATCACCAACACCAAGAGCTTCGAAAACATCAGCAAATGGCTCAGAAATATCGATGAGGTCAGTCTCTACACAACCTTACTCTAACCCTCAGATTACTGCCATTCAGGAAGTGATGTTTTATAGGGATAGTTCCCCGCAAAAATGAAAATTCTGTCATCATGTACTCACCAGGATTTTCCAAACCTGTATGAATTTCTTTCTTCTGTTGAACATTACAGAAGATATTTTGAAGAATGTGGGTAACGAAATCGTTGCGGGTTCCCATTGACTTCCACAGTATGAAAAAAAATACTGTAGAAGTCAATGGGAACCAAAACTGTTTGGTTACCAACATTCTTCAAAATGTCATTATTTGTGTTCAACAGAAGAAAGAAATGCATACAGGTTTGGAACAACACGAGGGTGAGTAAATGATGACAGAATTTAAATTTTTGGGTCAACTATCCCTTTAATAGGATTGTGTATGTCTGAACAGAAAATGTTGTGATTGTAGCGTAGATAATCTGTAAAACTAGTTTTGCCCTAAGACCCAGATTTGACATTTGACATACACAATAGTTAACAAAAGTGTGCTTAAAATTAAACTTAAAAATAATGCAGTGTTATTTTAGTATCATTGATATACTGTTAATATTTTGAATTAGATTTCTCATTTGAATTTGAATCTCTCATTTTCATAAGAACTAACATAACTAGAATTGTCAACTAAAATGAAAACCATAAAAATATTTTCATTACTTGTAACGAACATTAATTAAAATAAAATATAAAAAAACTTGTAAACATGTAAAATGATTATGACATGGGCTGAATAGGAAAATGTTGGCCAATAATTGACTGGTCAGGTGAAACCATATTGCATGCAGTTTTCCTTTATCTTGCATAGCTTTGTTCATGGTTTTTGAGACGCATGAATTTGTACCTAAATACAGAGTTTGTTTGGACAAGCATCTCTTGACGTCAACGACAAAACAATATGGGAAGTGTTTTCTCTTCCCTTTTAAAAGTTAATAAGCCCATTTATTTTAGTAGCCTAACTATGCATGATCATGTGGTTAGTTGCTTTTTATTATTGTGTTGTTATAAATAGAACATACCTATGACCCATTTTTGAGTTAAGAACCGCTGGTGTAGGACTTTTGAAGTTCCAGTCCTGTAAAAACACCAACTTACAGATACATAGTCATGGAGTGAAACTGCCGACTGTTTGATTTTCAGTCTGATGAGTTATGCAGAATTTCCAAACAATCAGCAATTTCAAGAGAATTCATATAACATGAGACTCCAAGAGGGATGTGGTTGTGTGTTTGGTGGCCTGTCGTTCACATACTTGCACCACTGATGCAAACTCAGTTCTTCAGTACTGTTTCTTCTGTGACTTCTGAAGCCACTTTAAGTACTCTCAGTCTGAACATCAGTATTAAGTGAGAATGCATCATCTCAAATGTGTGTATGTTTGTTGCAGCATGCTAATGAGGATGTGGAGAGGATGCTGCTAGGCAACAAGTGTGACATGGAGGACAAACGTATCGTACCAAAAGCCAAGGGGGAACAGGTGAGGGATTGTGGATGAGTTAAGATTCAGGCTGGGTTGAAAATATCAATTTTAATTAGGGATGTAACGATGCGCCGCGAGCCGGTTGAACATCGATATACAAATATGTGATGATTCAGATTGGTTGTGATGTTAAATGAATCGCGAGACATTTGGCGGTGGGAGTTTATATGTAGGGCTGGGTATCGAGTTCGATACTTTTTAGGCACCGACCGAATTGCCTCGATACCATCGAGTATCGAAAAACGTCTCGTCGTTCGGTACCAAATTTCGATACCTAAGGGGTTAATCTCATCAGCGTCAGTGAGCCAATAAGCCTGCAGCACTAGCCGGTGTGTTCGACTAGAAGAGGTGTGGTGCAAATCGATCATCCGCGAGAGCGATTCGAAAGCGCACGGAGCTGTCTGCTCTCTTTAGCTCTCGTGGTACTGTAATACACCGATCGGTCTGCACAGTCGGTCTGCGTCAAGTCGAACACACCTAGTTAACACCGGTTACACTCAGAGATGTGGAGCACACGTGAGGCTGTAGTGTGAATGCATCCCAGCCCCCATAGATGTAAGGCTACATTTACACTGGTATGTTTTTGTTATGTTTTAAAATGAAAACGATCCTTGTCATACTGGCGTTTCCACTGCGTTTCAAGCCGGCTTTCCACTATCTCCGACAAATGACAAGCAACAGACCGGTCATTCACTTCCAATGGAGAGTAGCACGGGAGCTGCATGGAGTTCCGATCATATGCAGATGTCCGTTCATACTACAAGACCGAAAGCGCGTGTTATGTGACAAACTACCATCGAGTGTTTGTAATAACTTCCGATTGCTGTCTAAAGTGTGTTTTGGCCATGTAATGTTGCTGAAATTAAATATGTTATTACCTCTGAGTCAGAGCAGCGATCATGGAAGAGAGAACACAAGCAGACAGCGCTGAAAGCTGCTAATGCTCATCAGTAAATCAGTGGAAAATATATAGAAATCATGATTCTGTCTGAGCTATGCATTTTAAAATGAACACTAACTAGTGTAAATATAGCCTAACAGATGTGTAAACTGAAGACTATTTGAGCTTTATTAAAACTATTTTGCACTGATTTATTGTGTTGGTTACATTTTGATCCTTTTGATCCATTTTGAGTCTTTGAGTTTAAACATCAACAAGCTGAAAAATAAAACCAAAGTAGTTTTTTTTTAGATAATGTAATCTTGTTAAAATTGATTTCATAAAATTGGTATCAAAAAAAGTATCGTTCAGGAACCGGTATCGAAGTCAAGGTATCGATATCGAAAATTTTTGAACGATACCCAGCCCTATTTATATGAATGTATCTCTCGAGGGGAACTGTCTTTAGAAAAGTTTAGATGGTATTTTCTTTTCATCTTGCCTCTGTATAATGCATATTAAAGCAGTTTTCATAAGCACAGTGCGCTGCTTTGTTTACAGTGGTAACCATGGAAACGCTGTATTGCTGCTGTTCCATAAGCGCCACCTGCTGTTAGAGAGTGATTCTGCATCTCATTCCGCCCGTCTGCTGTTTTGGTTTCGTGCAGATGTTTTATGTAGTATAGTTTCACAAAACTAAAGTCAGAGTGTTCTGTTTTTGTTTAAAATTTCCAATTATACAATCTAATTTTATATTAAAAACTGCTCATGTTGAATGTATGCAGCATCTTTGTTTGGATTGTGATTCAGATGAAGTGGTTGCCTCTAATTTTAAATGGAAAGAGCACAGGCAAAGCCTTAGTTTGTTTATATGAAGAGATTTCTTTTATTTGTATTATTTATTTATTTGATTTGGGATTTGTTTTAAAATTTCAGTTTAGTTTTGTTATTTGACACATTTCAATTTCACAAAGAAATGTGCAGCATTTTATCCTAAATTTATCTTAAATTTATATTTAAGTAATAATAAAAGGATACCTTTTCATTTATAATTTGTCTTAAATCTAATTTTGTTTAAAAAAAATCATGAGAAAATTGTATTGTGAAATCAGTGTCGTGAATTGTATCACATCGATTAAAAACCGCCTTATGTGCAATTTAAATGTTTGTTTACAAATCACATTAATGTACCAACTGACACAGGGTATTGTATAGTTAACAGCG